TGTGTGTGTGAGTGTGTGAGTGTGTGTGTGTGTGTGGTTATTTACTTTCTGACCAGACGTATTCAGCTCAAAACCAGCGTGACTGTCATTACCAGAATTCACAATTTACGAATGAATGAAATATAAGAAAACATTTTTACTTCACTTTCACTATTGCACTCTTTCACTTGTCAACAGTTAGTTTGCATTTGATAACATGTGCGTTATGGATATTAATTGTTTGCATTAATTTTTTCTTTACAGTTTACCATAAACATTTACCATTTGAGTCATATTAACCAGAAATCATAATATTTAATGACTAAAATCATACCATAATACCTTAACAAATAATTACATAAATTATAACAAAAAATTAATATGTTAAATAAGTAATATATATTTAATTTCTGGAAATAACTGCAGGTTATATATATATATACACATACATAGTCAAACCAAAAATTATTCAGACACCAGATATAATTTATTATATTTTTATACTAGTGTGTGCAGGACAAAATAAAGTGAACTATGACACATTAAGCGAACTATGGCACATTATACCCAGAAACTCTTCATACAGTGGACTAACAGTAAAACTGATACAAATTAGTTTAAGTGTTTTTTCTTTAATTGCTAATGCGACTTTATTACACCACAGAATGAACGACATTTCTATATATATATATATATATTAGTATATAAATTATAACATGTATAAATGTGTGTAATTTCTGGAAATAATTGTAGGCTAGATATAAAGTTAAGTAATATAACGCGCAGTAGCAAAAACGCTATATCATACTATAGTATTACCACAGTATGATGAATGATGACCATTAATCATTCATATATAATAATCTCTGATGTGAAGTGCGGGATCTGAGCGCCGGTGACGTCACACCGAATCGTTAAAAATCATCTGCCGCTAAACGCGAATTACCGGCGCGGCGCGTCTGAGGGCCTCCGCGGACTGACGCGTCTCTCCTCACTATAATCACAATAACACCGCGTAACAACACGGTCTGCAGCGTTTAGTGCCTCACAGCGCTCACACACACGCGTACTCCGGGAACCAGGCTCTTACTCACGGCTGCGGGGGACCCGTCCGGTGCTGCTCGCGCTGCGCTGCGCTGTCTCTCTCTCCGCCGCTGCGTCCTGAACGCGCACGCATGCGTCACACCGGACCGGAAGCGTGCGTGCGCGCACACGGGCCTGCGGTCAAAGCCAGTCCTGGGACGCGACTCGCGCGCTGCAATTCTACACTGATTTTCTACACTCCGTTTTGTCTGATGAATACAGTAGCCTAGCAGAAGCAAATATAATAATGTACAATAATGTATATTTGAAATATGCCAATAGCACGGTTATTACATTATTATAGTTAACTGAAATAAAACTAAAACCATTAAACAACATGTTCGTTTTCCTGAAATAAAATATGTAAAAACTTAAACTATTTTCAGATAGTTGCCATGGCAACATTTTTAATTTTAATTCAGTTTAACTCGTTACTAAAAGAACTAAAACTGAAATAAAAACATAATAATAAAAACGACACAGTCACATAAAAATCTAATAAAAAAAAACATAAAATTATTTGAACTTTAACTAAAAGTAAAACAGAATATTTAAAAATAGTATTATAAATATAATAGTGTCTGAATACCACTGGTTAATAATACCTAATGAATACATCTGACATACTGAAGACTACATTTATTTTCATTTTAATATTTAGACATTCAAAACTCAAATCTGAACAATATCATATCTGCCAGAACAATAATAAAAAAGGACATAAAAAATGCAAATTTCTTATTTTCAATATTAAAAACATAAATGTTCACACCAAATTTGGCTTGACTTCTTAATTTGAAAACACTTTTTAGGAAGAATATAGACTGGTAAACGATGTCGTTGCGGTTTATAAAACTAAATGAAATACAATAAAACGACAGTTTCTTTAGGGATTATTTATTTATTTATTTTTGCACTTATCCATTTGATTTAAAAAAAACAAGCCTTCACTTTCAGCACCGACTGTAAAGAACAAATCACACACAATTACAAACCACTGCACAAAGTGCTTTTTCTGAAAAGACAAGTAAAAAAAAACACCTAAACCATAAAAACTGAGATCAGCAATGACAATTCTTTATTAAAAAAACAGCAGCAATAAGAACAGCCCTAGCTCACGACGGAATACACGAATAATCAACACATTTCAGAGCTCATAAATCTGTGATTGGGTGAATATGAGCAGCTGAATAAACTCTACTGTTTGATTTCACAGTTTCTGTGTGTGTCAGAGCCGAGATCATTAATCAGCCACTGACGCTTTAGATATTACATTACATCAAAACTAACAACATACAGCTCTGTAAATATTTAGATGTAAAATATAGCCACTTTATTCATCACTATAAACACAAACACTAACATCAGTATGTGCACGAGAGAGTTAAAGCAACAGTTCAGACAAAAATCAACATTAGCTGATAATGTGTTCATCTGAGTAACGTCTTAATGCTGGATGTGTTTCATCTTTTGTCTTCTCCAGATGTTAACTGATGAACTGGATTACTTGTGGATTATTGTGATGTTTCTATCAGCTCTCATTCTGACGGCACCCATTCACTGCAGAGCATCCATTGCTGAGACACTGATGCAATGCTACATTTCTCCAAACCTGACGAAGAAACAAACTCATCCTGATCTCGGATGAACACATTATCAGCTAATGTTCATCTAAATGAGGGCAGGTGGATCTGTGACGTGATTCTCAGCACAAGAGTTCCCGTGTTTCCTGAAGCAGGAGGGAAAAACACACTTGGTTTTGCTTTACACGGACGGTTATTCTAGATTCAACATTTATACTTGAATTATGCAGTCACTTTTAATACTGTTAGCTCATAATGGTTTTCCTCCTCATTACTCATGAACTATAAACAGTGATCTGGAGAACAACGACCAACGCGAGTGAATTAAAAATGAAAATGATCTCATCATATACTCTCCCTCGTGTCATTTAAAACCTGTATTTTTTCTGCTGTAGAATGTCAGGAACCGAACAGCTGACGGCACCCATTGACTTCCATAGTATCCCAGCTAACAGGAAACATTCTGAGAACGTTCTCTCCAGTAACATTAATAGAACGCTTGTTCACTGATCGGCTCTTTAATAATGCTCTCAAAACGTTAGCAAAAAGCCTTATTTATACATTGTTAATGGAATGTTTTTCTGAAACGTTTTAGTTGGGCGTTCGTCTAATGTTTCCTAAATGTTACTACTTGCTTCAGAGAACATTCAACAGTAACATTCCCATAATGTTTGAAATATTATATAATGAAACGTTACCCTAATGTTTTCTTTAACATTTACATAACCAAGAAAGAAAATGTTTTTAAATATTTAAAAAAACGAAACGTTCAGAGAACATTCAGTTATGTTTTCATAACGTTACAGAAACGCTAGCAAAACGTTCCTGGGACATATTTTTGTTCGCTTAAAACACTATGGAAGTCAATGAAACTTTTTTTTTTTTTGTTTAGTTTCACAAAAGCAGGAAATACGAGTATATAATGGTTTTTAGGTGGTTTTATCGTAATGCGGCACAGTTTGAGTTCAGCTGAATTGGCACTTTGTATGCGACGCTGACTGCGATTCGATCCAGTTCTTCGTTTACAGCGATATTTAATAGTTTCAATCACATGCGTAGGAGGACATGAAGCGGTCGCCGTGGAGACGGTTCTGCGGTTTCCACGGTTACCAGATGCCACTGGAACGTCCACCAGGTGGAGCCAGAATTCTGGCCGAGGATCTCTTAGGAATGTGATCGTCCACTTGAGCTCCTGTAAAAAACGCAATCCCACAATCCTCAGCACACGACTGAATCTAGTGCCGTCAAACGATTAATCGCGATTAATCGCATCCAAAATAAAGTTTTTGTCTACATGATATATGTATGTGTACTGTGTTTATTTATTATGTATATATAAATACACACACATTCAGTATATAGTTTGAAAATATTTACATGCATATACATTTATATATTACTATATTATATATAAATATATTTAATATATAAGCATAACATATTTTTCTTAAATATACATGCATGTGTGTGTATTTATATATACATAATAAATAAACACAGTACACATACATATATCATGTAGACAAAAACTTTATTTTGGATGCGATTAATCGCGATTAATCGTTTGACAGCACTAACTGAATCACTGCTGAATGAACCCAATACTTGTTTCTGCCGATTGTCCGTCACACTTTCTCACTGAATGTGTGCATTTCATAGCGTTTCTGCTTTCAGGAATCATTTGTGCGGTGAAAACCAGCTCACAAACACATGATTCCTGTCTGAATCTCAGCCTGATTACAACTATGACTATTTTATTTCTAATCCTGGTTTCAAGCTCAGAATAATGACCGGAGACAGAAGGAAATGCAAACATGAGCAGATGTTTTCTGTTTTTACTGCATCCGAACAGACACAGAAAATCACAGATTTTGTTAAAAAAAAAAAAGAAGCTTATTTTGCTTATTTTGTACAGGTCTCTGATCTTAAATGGAGTATTTTAACATATTTTTCCACTCCTTTGCAGATTGTTAAATAATACTTTACTTTACTTATACTTTTAGTCATTTAGCAGACGCTTTTATCCAAAGCGACTTACAAATATATATATATATATATATATATATATATATATATATATATATAGTTGAGGAAAAGTACTATTTTATATTTAAATATATGAAAATATATATTTTTTTATATCTTTTTATTTGTAAAATATGTCTTAATTTTTATTTAAATATTGTAATATATAATAAAGAAAAATCATGTATCAAATGTATCAACCAAATGCATCTTATACGAGATAAATAATATATACACGATATATATAAACCGGCTGAAATGTTTTGGAATCACTTGTAGCCTTACCTGATCGAAAAAATCCAGTCTTTCACTCTGTCTGTGTCAGTTTGAGTCTTGTTAAAGTTTTAAATCCCTGCCAAGATGCTCCTCTGTCGGTCACGGATTATAGAAAGTGAAACTTAAATCTATAGAGGTGGATGGATTTATTCATGCACTTTAAAATATTTATTTAAAGCTTCTTTCTTTTCAGATTCTTATTTACAGCATTATCTTAATAGGCTGTATATTAACTTATTGGAAGAAAACCGGTAGTTCTATGTGAAATCCGACATTTGAGCACCCCACATAGCCAAAATGGCATGATCATAACACCCCGCGAATATTCGACTGTGAGATTGGTATCAAATCAGGCTCCTCCTATCGAAGCATCGAATAAAATAAAATAAGTTGTAGGGATGTACTAGGGTTTAGGGTGATAAATAGGTATAAGGTATAAATAAGAAAAAGTAATTAAAACTAAAAGCTAAAAACTCTATAAATACATGTTATATATAATACCTGTGAGATTGGTATCAAATCAGGCTCCTCCTATCGAAGCATCGAATCTTCGACTATTCGGGGTCACCCCTATTATGTATTATTAAATCTTATTTTGCAAAAAAACTGTGCGTGATGTAAAGTTTTTATTGTTATTTTTTAACTCGTCAACAAATGATCTAATTTTAGGCATTTTTTGTAAATCTGCAATGCAGATGCAAACATGTATCTGCAATGTAAATCTCAGACACACACCTGACAGGCTGAAGCTGGACTCGTGCAGGTCTCGTACGCCCACGTGTCGCGTGGACGCCCGCATGGGAACATCGCCCTCCGGAGAGGCGGATTCCTTCCTGATAGAGTTGTTTACGGCGGCGATGTCGCCCGAATACGGCGCTCGATCCACGCCGCGCAGCCTCTGAGTCTGTGGATCATGACAGCGCTAGCATCATCATGACCAGTGCTGGGGAAAGTTACTTTTAGAAATAATGCATTACAATATTGCGTTACTCCCTAAAAAAGTAATCTGATTACGTAACTTGTGTTACTTGTAATGCGTTACATTTTTAATGCTTTACGTTACTTGTTACTTAAAAAAAGTAATATGATTACGTAACTTGTGTTACTTGTAATGTGTTACATTTTTAATGCTTTACGTTACTTGTTACTTAAAAAAGTTATATGATTACGTAACTAGCGTTGCTTTACTAGTTACTTGAAAAAAGTAATCTGATTACGTAACTAGCGTTACATTTTTAATGCTTTACGTTACTTGTTACTTAAAAAAAGTAATATGATTACGTAACTAGCGTTGCTTTACTAGTTACTGGAAAAAAGTAATCTGATTATGTAACTAGCATTACATTTTTAATGCTTTACGTTACTTGTTACTTAAAAAGTAATATGATTACGTAACTAGCGTTGCTTTACTAGTTACTTGAAAAAAGTAATCTGATTACGTGACTAGCATTACATTTTTAATGCTTTACGTTACTTGTTACTTAAAAAAAGTAATATGATTACGTAACTAGCGTTGCTTTACTAGTTACTTGAAAAAAGTAATCTGATTACGTGACTAGCATTACATTTTTAATGCTTTACGTTACTTGTTACTTAAAGTAATATGATTACGTAACTAGCGTTACTTTACTAGTTACTTGAAAAAGTAATCTGATTATATAACTAGTGTTACATTTTTAATGCTTTACATTACTTGTTACTTAAAAAAGTAATATGATTACGTAACTAGCGTTACTTTACTAGTTACTTGAAAAAGTAATCTGATTATATAACTAGCGTTACATTTTTAATGCTTTACATTACTTGTTACTTAAAAAAGTAATGATTACGTAACTAGCGGTGCTTTACTAGTTACTTGAAAAAAGTAATCTGATTACGTAACTAGAATTAGTTGTAATGTGTTACATTTTTAATGCTTTACGTTACTTGTTACTTAAAAAAGTTATATGATTACGTAACTAGCGTTACTTTACTAGTTACTTGAAAAAAGTTGTCTGATTACGTAACTTGCGTTACTTGTAATGTGTTACATTTTTAATGCTTTACGTTTCTTGTTACTTAAAAAAGTAATATGATTACGTAACTAGTGGTGCTTTACTAGTTACTTGAAAAAAGTAATCCGATTATGTAAATAGCGTTACTTTACTAGTTACTGGAAAAAAGTAATCTGATTACGTAACTAGTGTTACTTGTAATGCGTTACACCCCCAACACTGATTCATGACACTGTGAAAGAGATTCATATACAGACAGCGGCACCTTCTCTCTCTGGACCATCTTCTTGTAGAGGAAATCCGGGAAGGATCGCATGGGGTAGAACCTCCCGGAGCCCTGAGCGCAGGTGAACACGCCGCTCTCACACACCAGACGACCACGGCTGATGGTCACCAGCGGGATGCCGCGACAGCGCTGGCCCTCATACAGGTTAAAGTCTCCACCCTGAACCTGAGAGCTCGCCGAGATCGTCCTGCAGCGACAGACAGATACGAGTGAGAGTCACGGTTATTACAGTCAACTGAACCTTCTCTTTGCTTGAAATAAAATAAAATATAAAAATACATAAAAAAAATGTAATAAAAACTATATACACATAAAAAATTAATAAACAAAAATAACGACAAAAACCACAAAATTTTACCTTTAAAATTAAATTTAAATCAGAAAATATAAAAATAAAAATGTTTATAAACTTTTTTTTATTAAATATATAATCCCATTCAAAAGTTTGGGGTCAGTCAGTACGATTTTTTAAAAAGAAATTAATACTTTTTTTCATTAAGGATGCATTAAATTGATGAAAAGTGACATTTAAGACATGTATAATGTTACAAAAGATTTATATTTCTAATAAATGCTGTTCTTTTGAACTTTCTATTCATCTGTGAATTCTCAAAAATAAAATGTATGACGGTTTTCACAAAAATATTGGGCAGCACAACTGTTTTCAACATTGATAATAATCAGAAATGTTTGTCGAGCAGCAAATCAGCATATTAGAATGATTTCTGAAGATCATGTGACACTGAAGACTGGAGTAATGATGCTGAAAATACAGCTGCGCATCACAGAAATACATTACAGTTTAACAGAGATTCACACAGAAAACAGCTGTTTTACACTGTAACAATATTTTATGCTCAAATAAATGCAGCCTTGGTGAGCAGAAGAGACTTCTTTTTAAAACATTAAAAAACTTACTGAACTCAAACTATTGAATGCTATATTTTTAACATATTAATATGATAAAATATTAAAAATATTTTTTTATATTTTAAAATTAATTTTATAATGTTTCTGTGGCAGATCTCTATTTTTCTCATTTTCTCAAGTAGCAACTGCTAAAATTAATACATTAAAAAATTATATTATAAATAATAATGTTTCAATGTATAAATATCTCAGTATGCACTATACTGTAATATATATATATATATATATATATATATATATATATATATTTTTTTTTTTTTTTAATAAAACAAAATTATTGGAGAAAATACCATTTCACTCTTTCTACTTCAAAATTTTATAATTTATAATTATTTGCAAAATTTGCTAGCAATTTTCGAGTGAAAATTGTTTCAAAGTAAATCCTACACCAGATTTTTCTCAGTCCAGAGGAAGAAAAGCTTTATCTCCCAAAGTAAATCCAGTAAAGCGTCCAGTACCGGCTGGCATCCGGGTCCCACACCACCACATCAGCGTCCGCTCCCGGGACAATGCGGCCCTTCCGCGGGTACAGATTATAGATCTTAGCCGCATTCGAGCTTGTCACGGCCACAAAACGATTCTCATCCATCTTACCAGCGACCTGAAGGACAGAAAACATTACTGAATGAATCTGCAGGTTTGAATGAATCGAGTGAGTCAATGATTCAATGACTCATTCATAAAGACAGTCCCCTGCTTTGTTTCTGAATGAATCTACATTTTTAAATTAATCGAGTGAGTTAATGATTCAATGACTTACACATAAAGAAAATCACTTTTTATTTCTGAAGGAATCCATGGTTTTGGGACGAATCAAGTGAGTCAATCATACAATGACTCATTCATAAAGACAGTCCCCTGCTTCATTTCTGAATGAATCTACATTTTTAAATGAATCGAGGGAGTCAATGATTCAATGACTCATTCATAAAGACAGTCCCCTGCTTTGTTTCTGAATGAATCATTTTAAATGAATCGAGTGAGTCAATCATACAATGACTCATTCATAAAGACAGTCCCCTGCTTCATTTCTGAATTAATCTACATTTTTAAATGAATCGAGTGAGTCAATGATTCAGTGACTTACACATAAAGAAAATCACTTTTTATTTCTTTTTTATTTGAATTATATTTTTTTATTTTTTATTTAAATCCATGGTTTTGGGACGAATCAAGTGAGTCAATCATACAATGACTCGTTCATATAGACAGTCACCTGCTTCATTTCTGAATGAATCCGTGGTTTTGAGCGAATTGAGTGAGCCAATGATTCAATGACTCATTTATAAAGACAGTAAAATAGCTTAATTTCTGAATGAATCAGCCGTTTGAATGAATGGTTCAGTGACTCACTCATTAAGCTAGTGACTTGCCGTCACCAGTTTTAGTTTCATATTTACATTTAGTCATTTAGCAGACACTTTTATCCAAAGCGACTTACAAATGAGGACAATGGAAGCAATCAAAATCAACAAAAGATCTAGATATCTAGAGTATCATTTCACGTTTTTAAAAAATAATTTCATATCTCAATATTCATTTATAAAAGAACTCATAAATATCCATGTTACTGAATGGATCTGTGGTTTTATATGAACTGAGCGAGTCAATGATTCAATGACTCATTCGTAAAGACAATCACTTGCTTTTTAACTAAATGAATCATTTTCAATATTAATTTTAAAAAGAACACATTAATATCCATTTATTGTTAATATTTATGCAATGTTGAATCAAAATATTTCTTTCTAAAGCTACTTTTGGCAATGTCTAAAGAATGTTTTTCTCATCTAACACAGTTATAACTTTAAACAATCTTTCTCAGCCCAAATGGATGTGCGATTAATTTGAGATTAATTAGTTTAATTAATGGGTACGCCATTAGTGAATTATTGGTTGTTGTCGCACCACTCCTCTTTCCCAGATGACGCTCATGCGGTCCTCCACGCCGGCCGCTCCGTGAGGGATCTTGGTGAAGTCTTCCTTCCCCATGGCCTTCTGCTTGGTGTTGAACGCGCGGTGATCCGACGCCACCACGTTGATGATGTCACTGCGTGCACAGGAAATGCATCATCACACACACACACACACACACACTAATGTCAGAAACAGGTTCTGATATCACGGATGAATTAATAGGTGCGTCCCAAATCGCGTACTAATGCACTATTCTATGATGTTTTATAGTATAAATAGTGCGAGTGGTATGTTCACACTGAAAATTTCAAAAAGAAAACTTGCTATGCAAAACTATGCACTTAAATAACTGAAAAAATGAAGTGTGGAATGTTGAACACTTTATGCACTCAACTTAAGCAGAGGGGGAGGGGCTATCAGACTCTGATTATTAATGACAAAATAACCAGTGTCGGGGGTAATGCATTACAAGTAACGAAAGCTACGTAATCAGATTACTTTTGTAAGTAACGCATTGCTTTTTAATTTAGAAGGAAATATCTGAGTTAATTTTTCAAATAAGTAACAGCAGTTACTTTGTTTCCATGTGTTGAGTGACAGCTCTGGTGTTGCCATGGTGACAGAAATCAGGAGTCAGTGCAGAGCGTTGTGTGTGAACATGATGTTACTGTAGTTCTAGACTAAATATCAACATGTGTTTACTCATCTCACTGCACAAAACATTCCTCAAAATGAATAAAAACAGTCAAATGAAAACTCAGAATATTATACAAACCTGCAATAATTAAATTAGTTAAATAAGACAAATATCATTTATGTATTTAATCCCATTTTATTAACCAATGTCTTTGCTACTGACCTTCGATGATCCAATTCAACCATATTGATAAGCCAAATTGACACATTTGTGTTTCATTTTAGTTATTGCTGAATAGTGTTGAACGTTCTTCTCCTGCGTGATATTCTTCATGAGATTAGTTTGAGCGGCGCCCTCTACTGTACAGACGTGAATTTACATTTCCTTCAGCCTGAGGCGTATTCACTTCACTTTTGTTGTGAAAGGGCTTTTACATTTGTAAAATAACTTTTTTATATTAAAAACAAGCATGCAAAACGCTGCCCAAAAGTAAGTCAAAAGTAACGTAACGCACTACTTTCCATAAAAAGTAACTTAACATAATTAGTTACTTTTTTAGGGAGCAACGCAATATTGTAATGCATTACTTTTAAAAGTAACTTTCCCCAGCACTGAAATAAATAACCTTATGAAATTCATACACTACATGGTGGAGTACATAGTGTATAAGTGTATAGTGTGTCATTTGGGACGCAGTTAATGAGCGAAGTTCTGGAGGTGGGCGGAGCTGTGAGATGATTGGCGGGTGCGTACTTGCCCAGCAGGCCCAGCAGGCAGTCGGGGGTGCTGGGGTCGAGCCGGAGGGGCGGAGCTATGACGTGGGCGGCGGCATGAGCCCAGTCCTGATGATAGTAATGCATGCCGCTCAGCGCCGAATGAGCCAGTGTGGTCTCGGCGTGAACCACCTTGCCTGAAGCACACAATTAAACACCATCACAGCTTTTTACATCCTCTACCAGCATTTATACTCATGGACCACGTTACTGCTAAAATTCAGTTTCTCTTTGGAGATTATGAATGAGAGTTTTCTATACAACCCTATATACAGTACTTTTGTGAAAAAGAAGTGCGCTTAAGTGTACTGAAATTGCACTTCAAATCCTAAAATTACATTTTTAAAAGATTATATTTACAGACAATATAATAAGGCTATGTGTGTGTGTCTCATGCACTGGGCAAAATAGCATATTTTGTTAGTGATAGATGCTATTTACACTATGGTAAAATAGCAAGTTTTTCTGCTATTTACAGTACTTATTGCAAATAGTGGGAATTATCTGCACCTCACTATTGTAGTACATTATAAAATGGAACGCAATAATAATGTATTGAATGTAAATTATAATTTTTATTCAAATTATTAAATGGATGCCTTCTTATTGGGACGATAAAGCCCTCCCTAACCCTACCTGATACTTTATTTTGAACTTTTCGATTATTTCCTTCATTTTTATTGAACACAATTGCCATTCTCATGTGATATTGAAATTATTTGAAATTTGATTTGAAAAGGGAGAAAAAAAAAGTTTGGAGAAATGCTGATTCGAACCCGGGTTGATCACGTCAAAAAGCACATGCCTAACCATCTACGCCACTGGAACTGTTGTTAGATCATTGATTATTTTATAGTGCTGACTATCCCAATCACATGTTGGTGGGCGGAGTTAGTGTCAATAGACTCTCCGATATAATAATAATGAAATAAAAGGCTGCGATATGATAAAAAAAATAAAGCACACTCACACATGCTAAAGTGTGCTTCTTTTTCACACGGGTACTGCATACTTTGCAACAGCTTTTGAGAGAAATATTAATGTGTGTATATAATGCACACATACACACTTAAATCTCCTCAGAAACTCACCCTGCATCCGAGCGGCAGCGATGACATCAGCAGCAGACACACTGGAGACATTCACCAAGTACACTGGACAGTGAGCCTGCAGTGAAGAGCAGCACATGAGACACACTCACACACACACACACACACACACACACACACACACTCACACTCAAACACACT